GTGTAACTGTACATAACGCTCTTCCGTGTAGCTGAACAGAACATGCTTCATGCTGGCCATCCCTCCCACGCCACCCGCGGCCACGAAAGATAACTGCTTCCCAGCGGTATGGGGAGCATGGGAGGGAGATAGGCGGAGGGGGAGTTCCCGCGCGCCGTGAGAGCGTGGCGCGTGATACCCACAGAAAGAAAACAGAAGGAAGCCAGAAAGAACCGAAAGAAAACTAAAGTAAAATGCCCGCAAGGAGAGCAGGGAAAAATAGAGGGAGAAGGGTGGAGGAAGGCACCCATACTGACCACACAGAAAAAAGGGGGGAGGTAGAAAGAGCAGGCAAGAAGAAAACACCCGCAAAATGCACAATAGATGACTTCACCTCATAAAATAAATCCAAAAATCAACACACACTATCAGATCATGAAAATCAAATCATAAAATTTTAATCATACAATTAAATCATTAACCTCAAATCCTAAAATCAAATCCTAAAAGCAAGTCATACAATCAAATCCTGAAATCAAACATGAAGATTAAATCATACAATCAATAAAATCTTAAAAACAAATCATAAGATCAAATACAAGTAAAATGTATATATCCCACAACCACCCATATAAAACAGGAGGCAGTGGTACTCTGACCTGTACTGTCTGCAGAGCAGCAAAGAAAGAGGAATTAATTGGTTGGGAGAAGCTTTTTATGGATTCCTGAGTTTTTTGTCTCTGGTGGTTTTTCTCTCTATGTTAATGTACTGCTGTGGAGTTCTAGTAAAGAGAGACATAAGCAAATATGAAGCCTCCTGTCATATTATAAAATTTGCTTGCACTGTGCAGAACAAATACAGGGCCCTTTTCTCATGCCCTGGAAGAGCATTGAACCAACATGCTCACTTTGAGATGGGGCGTGCTTGTCATTGGGGATGACAAAACACACCCTATCTGGCCCTGCCCTCTTTTCAGTGGGCCTCTGTGAATAAAAAAATGCCCGGGCTGAATTTTTTCCCCAGTCCGGCCCTGCTCGGCACCACACAATGCAAGTTCCTACCTACACCAAAAAACCCTAAGGCTACCAGCAAAATATAACTAAATAAAAGTGCACATGGTACTACCCAAGTGTTAACCAAAATAAATGGTGAAAAGGAAAAAATCTTTTGAGGCACGTTTTGGCATTTTTCACACATTCCGTCATCAGGGGCAAAGTGACCGAGATCGCCAGTCTAACCTAGTTAAATACCCTGTCATCTAATTAGCCACCTGTAGTGCACCCAATCATATTTAGGGGTTGACCTAACCCTCAGCCCCGGGGCATACCTGGAACATTTGCCACATGTGTGTGACACCTTTCCCTGCTCTAAAAATGTTTAAAAAAAATACCCACAACATTTTTTAATTTTTTTCTTTTTTATAATGTATTGCACAAATTTGTAAACATTGTAAAACTCACAACGTTCACACACATACACAAACAGTTACAGGCAGAAAGTCACATACACAGACACACACACACACATTCATCAGGCAGACCATCACACACACACACTTACAGGAGGACAGTCGCACACATATAGTCACAGACAGACAGGGCCGGTGCAAGGATTTTTGCTGCCCTAAGCAAAAGAAAAATGTGCCGCCCCCCCATGTGACATCACAATGCCCCACCCATATAATCTGCCATATGAACTAATGCCAGTGCTGAACACAGAGTGTGTTTACATTAAAAAGCCTGCAGGGACAGGCTATAAACACCAGAAACACACACAGTTACAGACAGACAGTCACACACACACACACACACACACACACAGTTACAGGCAGACAGTCACACACACATACATACATACACACACACAGACATACATACACACACACAAACACATACACACATACACAGTTAAAGGAAGATAGTCACACATAAGCGCAGTTACAGGAAGACATTCACACACAGACACAGTTACAGGCAGAAAGTCACACACACACAGTTACAGGCAGACAGTCACACACACACAGTAACAGGCAGACAGTTTCACAAACACACACAGTCACATGCAGACAATTGCACACACACACACACACACATACACACATACACAGTTAAAGGAAGATAGTCACACACACACACACACACACACACACACACAGTTACAGGCAGAAAGTCACACACACACACAGTTACAAGCCGACAGTCACACACACACACACACACACAGTTACAGGCAGACAGTCACACACACAGTTACAGGCAGACAGGCACACACACACACAGTTACCGCGTCACACACACACAGTTACAGGCAGACAGTCACACTCACAGTTACAGGCAGACAGGCACACACACACACAGTTACACGCAGACAGTCACACACACACAGTTACAGGCAGACAGTGACACTCATAGTTACAGGCAGACAGGCACACACACACACACACACACACAGTTACACGCAGACAGTCATATACACACACACACACACATACACACACACACAGGCAGTCACACACACACACACACACACACAGTTACAGGCAGACCGTTTCACAAACACACACAGTCACATGCAGACAATTGCACACACACACACACACACACTCTCTTACTTACAGACAAAATGGAGGAGGAGTCGATTCAGTCCCTCCCTGAAGTCTGTTAGTTGGGGAAACAGGGACTCCTGTAGTGGATGGAAGCAGTGTTAAGCCCCACCCCCACTGCTGGTTTGGCTCCGCACCACCACCAGATTGGCTCCGCACCCACTTTCTCAACATACTTACCCTCCTCCATGTTCTTGCATGTTAATACATTTTTTCCAACCTACCAGTGAATGGTCACTTTGAAAACTGCTATGCAATTCTGTAATACATTTATATTATTAACTGCTTAACTTCTGTTGATCATTTCACATAATTTGTATTAAATCTTTGTCAGCTATTAGTTTACATTTTAAAGGACATGCCTGTTCGATAGTAGGAGAAAAAGTGTAGGCTATATAATAAATAAGTGGAATGTAAGATTTTGATTATAAAGAAAGGATAACAAATTTAAATCTGGTTAGTTTAGAAAAATGGCACCTCAGAGGGGATACAGTAACATTATACAAATATATTTGGGGCCAATGCAAAGCATTGTCTGGAAATCTATTTAAAATAGGACTATACATAGGATACAAAGTCACCCACATAGACAGGAAGAAAAAAATGAGTCTAAGCAAAGGAAAGGGTTCTGTAAAGTAAGAACAATAAAGGTGTGGAATTATAGGTGGTTTATCAGGGCCTGTACATGTTTTTAAATAACTAGTTCATTTCTTGCAAAAGCACATTATCCAAGGACATAATATTTAATACATGAGTTAACAGCTTCTTTATCTAAGTTTACATCTGACTGCCATTTCAGAGTCAACAATGATTTTTTTCCTCCTAGTCTCTTGCAAGATTGGAAATAGCTTTTAAACTGGGTATTTTGCCTTCTGGGTCAATGGCAAAAACAGACATAAGACAGGCTGAACTTGATAGCTGCAAGTTTTCTTTCAGTCTGTGTAATTGCGTAATTATGTAACAGTTACATTAATATTTACATGACAATGAGAAGTTTTGCAACATTCTTTCTGAAATAGTAATTTTTTTTTGCATTTGTAATTTCACAAAAACCTCTTGCCGTGATATAATAGTAGAATGAATTATAAAACAACTTTCATTATTTTGATATCCATCTTATGTAAGAACATTGTTATTTACCAATCTTACTCTGTCTGCATGTATTGGTAATAAACCATTTCTTCTATCTACAAACAACATTAAAATAACATGACTGATTCTCTTATGTTTACCTAGGGATTCAGTTCACCTTTATAGCACTCAAAGGAAATTTCCATCTTTACCCTCTTTTTATGTTTGGCAAGAACCCAAAATCTTGCCTTGAACTTATAACCTCTTATCAAAAAATTTAACAAAACATACTAAAGTGATTAGTCCAAAAGAGAATTCTGCTGTTTGTTATTATGGTTATTTATGAGCAAATTTGTTACATACTGGGGCAATTTAAATATAATAAATTGTAATAATGGTCTATGTATTCTACAAATTATATGGTATCATATGTATTCTACAAATTATATATTATACAGATTATATATGTATTATACAAATAATATATGGTTAAAAGATTCTATAGTGTAAGGAATCTGTATTCCTAATGCTATAGTGGCCACTGGCATCCCCCTCCCTCACAGCCCGCCCAATGACTGCTAAAGTTTATAAAACCTTTGCTTCAATGCTGTCCTATGAGAATTTAACTGATGCTGGATGTCCTCATGCAGAGCGTGATGACATCCAGTGTTAGTTAGGTGATCAAATGTCAGTTTGGACCCCTGAAATTCCTCTAGTGGCTATTTGATTAAAAGTCATTAGAGGCAGTCTTAGTCCTGCAATGTAATTATTGCAAATTATCTAAAACTGCAATGATTACATTGCAGGACTAAGTGGGACAGGAACACTGCACCCAGACCACTTTAATGAGAAGAAGTGGTCTGGGTGCCTATAGTGTCCTTTTAACCTTGAATTATAGTCTCTTTGAACAAAACCTATTTATTTAATAACTAATGTAGCTTACAGCATTTTGTTTTTACTTGATTACATCGATACAAAAATATACAAATAAAAAGATACATCATACATTCCCATCCAAAAAAATATATGAAAAGAAAAAATAAATAATTATACAAAAGAAAAATACCAAACAATATTCCAACTACTAAAGCACACATGACCACTTTGCTATGTCATGTTGCCATCCCCAA